GTCTGTCCCGGGGCTCTGCAGAACTCGGGAGAAGTCGTGGATGTTCCCGGCGGACACGTCGTTACTCTTCTCCTGGATTCGCTCCCGGAGAACGGGAGAGGAATCCGAAGGTGGAGGACGCCTTCGTGATGCTGGGATGCCAAATCCCGGCTGTGACGACCCCAGTGCTACAACGGGGCTAACATCAAGGGCGAGGACAGACGTCCAGGAGAAAAACACAGGAAATTAAAAATAATCCCTATTATTATTATTACAAGGGCTCTCAGCCATCATCTGCGATGGGCAGAGAGGGACAATTTGACATGGAAATCAGAGCTCCCGTCCCGCCGCGCCGTGGGATTCATCCCGGGTTAACAACGGCAGCATGGGAAGACGAGGCCCCGGCTGCACTTGGAGCCTGTCCGGCCGCTCCAAGAGGCTTCCAGCAGAAAAGCAAAGCCCCAAAACGCGCAGCCAGGGCGAAAGGAAAGGAAGAGCCACCAAGGACTCGGCAGGCCCAGGCCACAGCTCAGCACAGCTAATTAGCAGGGACAACAGGAAGCTCAGCTCTTTCCTGAGCCAAAACATTCCTTCTGCACCAAAGAATAACCCCCAAATTCATCATCTTTTCCCCATTAGGGGAGCACCCCGAGCCAGCAGCACAGCCACACGCTGTTCCCAGCTCCAGGAAGGAAGTTTCGGATTACACCAAGCGGCTTTTAAAACCAAACTGGGAAATACCCTCTTTCTCCAGAAAGCCACGCTCCCTGGCGGGACGCACAGGCGGAACACACGGCTGCGTGGGGGAATTCCCTCCTTCCCACCTTCCCCTTGGGTGCAATGCCGGAGGGACGGAGCAGGACGCGACGCGAGGACATGGGGCATTGGCCGCCTGTATGTCCAGCGGCTCGAGGGTTAACAAAATCTGGGGGGAAACATTGGAGGTTTCGTCAGAGGAAACAGCCGCTGGTGCCACCAAGACGCCCACAGGGCTAACGGGCACCTGCATTTCCCAATGCCACTTCCCCTGTCCAGCATCCCGCATCCGCAGCCGGGATGCACCGGGGATCCCAGCTTGGCCCGCAGACTGGAATCACAGCTGAGAAACCTTCCCCAGCACCACAGGAACACGCAGCCTTTTCTCCACCTTGTATATATATATATATGTGTGTGTGTATATATATATATATATGCATGCATGTATATATATATATGTATGTGTGCGTGTGTGTGCATACATATACATACATATATATGTATTCATGCATGTGTATATATATATATGTGTGTGTGTGTGTGTATATACATATATATATATATATATATATATTTTTTTT